GCTTCTACGTGCGCTCCAGGATGGTGTTTTTGTTAAACCCGAGCTGGTCCCAGGACGTGCTTTTTCCGTGTGGGCTTCGGATTTAGTGATCCCACCGCTCATCAGTGACTCTAGCGAGAATGCAGATAATTAAACTCCTTAAGTGTTAGGCAGGCTGATGCCTTTCAGGTTAAACATACAGCTTTAGCGTTTCTTTTTTTATAGCAGCCTATTTTGATTGGTCAACAAGAGACCACTTAGACTTCTCATCAGTACAGGGCTGCTTGCAAGAAGCAGATTTAAAGACATCCCAAAATTACAGAGGATATATGGATCTTAGAACGACACCTGAAGAGGCTGGGTAGTCTGGGAATTCTGTTTAGCTCAGGTGTTCAATTTTCTAACAACAAGAAAATGTTAAATAAAATACTGAATATTCTCAACGTTTCTAGTTTAAAGTTATTTTTAAAATAATTTCTGCCTAAACAAAAGAGAAAATCAAGTCCAGTAACTCCAGTGAGGAAGTTGTATATTAGCAGTCTTTTTACTGGTGAAGGTGCATATATCAAAGTAGTATATCCTCTACTTAGGAGTTCTGAGGTTTAATTAAAGTTGGTGAGGAAGTCACATTGTTACCTTACTGACTAAAAACTGTTCCTTAAATCTGAGATTTTATCTTTTCTTTCCTGGAATTAAAGAACAGTGTAAGGTTTTAAATTGACATTTCTTGTACTGCTGCAAGTCCATTAAAATCTGATGAGTTGAAGGACTGGGAGAGAGAAGTGTACTCTTGACAAACACAAACAAACCTAAACTTCAGCAGACTGACTAGAAAAAATGACAAGAAAGGTCAAGGCTTTGTAAACTGTGGAGGCTTCGATCTAGTCGTATCTGAGTATAAAAGAAGCTGAGAGGGTTAGCTTGTTCCTAAGCTAAATTATATGTCATGGAAAGTACTTTAATGTTAAACTGATATTTCAAACTTGGGAAACGCAGTGCAGCTTCCTGAGTTCTAGTTTTTGTGTTTATATGTAAGGCTTAAGTTAGCATTTAGAAGTATTTTATGCTCTGGGTTCCTCGGTGATTTCAGCATACATACAGGATGTTTAGAAGCAAAAAGAGCTTGAATTGTTGTAGATGTGTATATTTTAAGAAAGATTGTTTTTCCTCCCAAACAACAGATGCAGGTCAAAGCCAACCCATAGCTGTTGCTAGTATCTTAGCCAGCTTCTGTAACAACTTAGTTTTTTCACATTGAAACTTTAGCTTACTTAAGGACTTGCCTTAACACTAGTTTAGTTGTTCCTATGTATCAGCTAGTTTATGTCCAGTCATAGATTCAATTTTTGTTTTTTGGATACCTTTTAACATATATAGCAATATAACCCATGATATAATGAATTGGAAGGAAAAAAGGCATTCTGATAGCTATTCAGGAGCTAACATTTTAAATTTGCTCTGTTACAGTTCTTTTTTTTCTCTAACTTACAGTTTCAACAATACGGTGTAGTGATGTGTGCTGTCTTTGACTTTTCAGGTTCACTTTGCTTTTATGAAAGTCTTTGTTAAATTAGCCTTAGTTATTTGACTTACTGGCAATAACTTGCTTGACCAGAATAAATTAAAATTTCAAAACAACTTGAATTAATTTTGTGCTTTGTCCAGTTGGTTATCAGCCACAAAGAATCGTGGCTGGAGCAGCCTAGCATTGTTGCAAGAATTCAACTTGCTCTTCAGGTTTATTTTCATAAATAAAAGACTGTAAAGCTGAGCAGTAATTGCTTCAAAAGCAGCTCTGAGACAGAATAATGGCCTAAATTATAAGATGGAGTGTAACTTTATTAAAACTTTCTTGGTGAATAATTAAAAAAAAAAAAAACTACTGAAAACTGTCACGTTGTAACCTTATTTTTCTGTAAATATAACCCTAAACTTCATCTGTAAAGGAACAAGTTCATTTTAGGCAAGCTCATTATTTAAATAAATTAATCACCAAATATGTGGAATTATGGTTCATAATTAAAATATTATTGCTGTTTTTGGACTATAATTTTTAGCCATGTTTGGCTTCAGTTCTGACATTCCAAATCCTAGAACTCTGGTTATATATATATATACTTTTGAAAGATTCACGATGAGCGCACAGCAAGCTCCCTCCTCTTTTTGAAGCTCTGTTTGTATGCCTGAGCACTGTGAACAGGTCCTTACTTTCCTCCTTTAATCCATTCTGACATTCTTTCTTTAGGAAAGCAGTCATTTCTAAGGTACTTTATGGAAAGTAGTCCATACTTCTTCCTTTTGGAATGTATTTCCTTTTAGTTATACTCTGAACTTTTTCTTCTCCTTTTTTTCCTCTTCTCCCCCGTTTTACCCCTCCTTCTATTTTTAATCCTTTTCGCTTTCTGTTCTCAGTGTTCTCTTGTTTTGCCTTTGTGCAATTAAGAATGCCCCTAGTGTAGGGCCTGTATGCATGTTGGTAGATGACTGTGCTGTGTCAGCATTTGCTCCTGCATGGTTTAGTGTATTTTGTAGAGAGGAGAACATATGGATGGGAGTTGCTCTGATGCTGAGAGATTGTATTAGTAACGGCAGGGGAAAGGGCTGTCAAAAGGACCGTGGTTTCAGCAGCTAAGATCACGTGAAAAATTCCTACCCCTTCGTTTAGGCTGAGGAAGCGATTAGTGCAACTGTTCTATAAACTGAATCACTAAACCAGTCTGAATTAATGAAAATAAAATCCAAAACAACTTTTTGGAGTGAGGTACTTGTAATTTTTTATCAGGTAGTAAGAGTGAAGGTTTGAGGGCAGGACTTAAGCCAAATTCACTGCTGTAGTTTGCACCTTGGTGAATTCCATTAGTAGGCAGTGTGCTACGAGGCTCATGGCTTGTATTCATTGTCTTTCTCGATGCAACTAAAATTGGATGAAACTAAAAATGGATGCATGTATTTCATTAATATGCCTGAAGTGTCCGATCGTGCACTGATGGACAGAGAGACATCTCTGTATCTATTTGAAATTCTTGTGTTAATGGAGAGGTCTGCAGTTGGTTTCCAGTTAGTAATTGAAAAACTGCTACTACAGTTGCATCTGCCAACATTTTTGGTATGGCCAGTGAAATCAAACCATCAGTGGACTTTGGTTAGAGTTGTTTAAATCCTAAAAGTGTTCGATATTAAGCATGAAAAACACAAATCTTTTAGTTTGCAACTCTTCTATTAATTAGACTTTACTTTCAGAATTCCTTGAGGTTGGCAAAAAGCAGCCTGCCCTTGATGTTCTCTATGATGTTATGAAAAGTAAAAAACACCGAACATGGCAGAAGATTCATGAGCCGATTATGCTGAAGTACTTAGAGCTCTGTGTGGATCTCCGCAAGAGTCATCTAGCAAAAGAAGGACTGTACCAGTACAAGAATATCTGCCAGCAGGTATGGCTTTTGAAATTTATTTATTTGCAGCATGGTATATGTCCACTGATATGACCTAAAAATAACTAACTAGTCTCGAGTTAGAATAAATCTGCTTTTTAGCCGTTCCTGTTTTTATAGAATTTACATTTTAAATATTTGCTGTCTATTGTGGGGGGGAACCATCTTAAATGTTCTGTATTTGCTGTAGGTGAACATCAAATCTTTAGAGGATGTTGTTCGAGCTTATCTAAAATTAGCTGAAGAAAAAACAGAAGCAGCTAAGGAAGAATCACAGCAGATGGTACTGGATATAGAAGACTTAGATAACATTCAAACTCCAGAAAGGTAGGAGGCCTTTGTTTAAAATGTAAGCTCTTCACAGCAAAATATTCTTATTTTTCTGTTTGTAGAGCACTGGCACAAGGACTTTCAGATTTCCAGTGGACGTTTTGAATACCTATGGGGTATGACTATATATTAAGACAACACCAAAGATGGCATTGTAACATTCTATAGTTGAGATTTAACTTGGTTCTTTCAAGTAGTATGCCTTAAAATAATTTCCAAACTTTCAGTTCTTGAACTATGCGTTTTGCACTGAATTATGAGAGCTGTGTGGTGCAGTTAAATCAACAATGCTAGGAAAGCTAATTTATTGTACAAATGGCATATCAAATTTTCTAAATTTTTAATCTGTGATTTTATTTGTGTGCACTTACTATCCTGGTACTTTAACGTAGTTGTATTGTAGATTGTATAGTTGTTTTTAAATAACTTAATGTATTAGACAGCAGAGACACCAGTGGAACTAGCAATCAGCTAGGGAATTTGTAAGAAATAATTTTAAGGTGTTGTTTTTTCTTCTCCGACACCTCTTTCTTAAAAGGTAGGAATGGAGTAAAGAATGAAAATGAAAACAATGACTAAGGGAGTGGAGGAGGAGATTTACAATATCAACAAGTCAGAAGTAGCTGGATAGAGAAACTACAGACTGTATGTTATACTTAAAAGGGTACCTAGTAAGAGCTATATGAATACAAAGTGTTTTCTGATAGAGCACACAGAAGACTTGACGACTAGAAATGCAGCTGGAAATGACTGTGGATAAGGATATTATGGAAGAGAGAGACTGTGTATGTCATTTCAGTTTTACATGCTAGGCTGACAGATGAACTGCTGTACGAGGAGGGTGACCCATAGAAGCGTGTGACTGCTGGAACAAGACAGGAGAGACTAGCTAATGGAGGAGACAGAGCTGAGAAACGGGTTTGCTTCACAGAAAATTAAAGAAAAGAACGTAGCAAAACAGAAAAGCCTCTCTACCCCAGAAGAGAGGAAAAGGTGGTGGACAGAGCCAGGGGGTCAGCGTCTAAAGAGTACTGATGACGATACGTAAGAGGAAGAAGGATCCGTGCTCAGAAGAAAGAACAAGAATTATTTGACCGGTCTCTTTCTAGAGTTGGCTCTGTGGGTGGAGGCATCTTTTTGAGTGGACCTGAAGGTTGATCAAAGCACCAGATCCAGAAATGGATAAAAATGAATATCCGTAGGTAGGAAGCTGGAGAGGAGAAGAAAGGAAATGTGAATTTTTAGAACAAAAGTATAAAATACATAAAAATATGGTAGAATAGCAGTTGCAATTGGAATACGCGTGTTGAAGGATATTGGCCATTCAGAAAACCCAGAAATAAGGATGAAAAGATTGACTGATTTACTAATGATGTTCTAGAGGTGTTCAAAAAAAAAAAAAAAGGGGGGGGGGAAGGTAGCCTGAATTGAACAGAAATCTGTGAGTCAAAACCACTATAGTAAAGAAAATAAATAGGTATAGTCAGAAGAGTTATGGGAACTGGGTCATAGCTTTCTAGGATCTACTTGGATCTACGCAGAAATACTTGTAATGTGTTGGAGAATTAATTACTGTAAACTCTTCATTATCGATTGGTGAACAAATGCTATTAATTACATTAGGGCCAAATTCATTCCTGACTGTGATAACCTTCAGACTCTGTTGCCAAGCTATGCATGTATAAACAAAAGCTAATGTTATTTTACACTTGCTTAGGTAATTGATGAGATAATAAAAGTTATAGAAGATAATAGAAATTCTGAGTGTTATGGTTAATTGCATGGAAAATCATCTAAAGAGGGGAAGCAGAAGAACTTAGGGAGAATGGAAAAGAGGACTGATCAGTAGGTACATCTGCCTTATTTTGTGTATAGACCTTCACTTAGCATATAGCTTAAGCCAGCGATGCCAGGTTATGGTGTAACCACTCTCCAGTTGTTGTTTTCTTCTGTCCATGTCAGTAGTCACTATTCTGTTGTCAGAATGGTTTGTGGGAGACCTTCCTAATTGACTTCAGGCAAAGTGAGGTCAGCTCAAAGTGCATGTTTATGTCCTTCAGATGAATCTGTTGATTTAGGGAATGCTCACATTAACTCTGCTGATAGACCTATGTGTGTAGTGCATCTGCAGAGAAAAGGTGACAGGTAGGAAGCAAATAATGTTTTAAATCTTTCCAACTGAGTTTGGAAGAAGATAAAG